ACAATCCTTGGAAAGCAACTCCCGGCAAGAACTTAAAGAGGACATCTTTGTCAATGTCAGTATTAATTAGCATGAATGAGATTGAGAATCACATGAGGTTGATGAGACCTCATCACCTACAAATACAGGCTTTTTAATAAGACATTGCATATCAAGCAAAAGAGGAATGCTGGGATTCATAGAAAAATTAATTGTTGTAATTATTATCAAGTTTAGTTTTTAAATCCAGTAATATTCCAAGCAAAATATTATGAGATTATTACCGAATATTAACTGCGTCAACTAGATACAAAATCAACACTAAGCGTAAATTTAGTCATAATGGGCTCAGGTAATAAATGAGTAAACACATTAACCTATCAAATAAATTAAATTATTAATATTTTTTTCAAAATATAATTATTAACACTTTTTTTTTAATTTGATTTCATTGAAAAAAGAGTCTATTGAAAGTGCAATTTATATATCTCACCATACATAAGAAGAGGCATTAAAAAAGGGGGGTCACATGCATATAAAATCTCCAATAACCCCATAAATATTGTGTGGTCTCCTTAGAGGTTTGTGGGAATTTATAATATTTTTAATTTAAAAGACAAAGGTGTGTTAAATTATTCATAGACTCCGTGTGACACTGTTGGAATATAGCTATATTTTAATATCATTATTTTTAGAATAAAATTATTTTACTCGTCAAAGAAAGCCATACAGCTATCCACGAGACGTAATAAATGACATTGATATCAAATTAAAAGGGTAATAAATTCAATACTTTATCATTATCTTTAAGAAATTATTTATAAGGACAAAAAATTAATAAAAATAGAATAAATAAATATAAAAAATTCAAAAAATAATTCAATGTATCACAAGTTTATTAATACCGAACTTATCTACATGACCAGTTTAATTCAACACAAATAAATTGTTCAAGTCCAATTAAATCGAAAAAATTTAATACAAAATAAATTTCATGCTTGACAAATTACAAATATTGGATTATAATTCTAATTTTTTTTTTCTAATTTTAAAATTTTGAATTGACCCCAAATTTTTTTAAAATCACAGCATTGCTCCCCCCCCTCTCTCTTTCTCCAAACTCTGGGTCCCCCACTGGACGGCAGGCCAACTCTGACTCAGTTCATGGTTGGTAAAATTGTACTCGTACAAATCGCCGATTACATCTAAACATGATGTTCAACACCCTAATAAATGCATAATCACATAAAAACCAAGCCTTCGAACGTAAGTTGGCCCGCACCACATTAACATCATAACATATTTCTAGACAGTGGGTCACTCAGGGGATCAATCGACGACAATTCTTATAAGAAGACAATGTGCCACTGAGAATTACACAATAACTGGATCTTATTGAATAATTACATTCATGCTGACTAAGTAAAATTATTTTGACCAAAATTTACAATGACCGTCAAAACAAACTATAAAAATATAACCTTCAAAATTTTTGTCCAAAATTTAAGTATCAAGTTAAACACACATGAGTTAATCAACAACGACACATGACGGTCACACTAACCTCACATTATTGAATCTCTCAATTTGATTCTTTTTTTTATGATTAGTCTACTGTACGGGATAATTCATGCAATAGTTTGAGACAGAGATCTTTAATTTGACGAACCTAAAATAACAGGGTCAGAAAAAGGGGGTCAGGTAAGCACCCGACTTACCCCTTCCGAAGCTTAAGTCAATCTAAGGTCGAAAAGTTTAGTTCAATGGACAATTTATTTCTCGTTTAAGTTTGCATACCTTTGTCCATTTTTCTGAAGAATATTTATACTTGAATTAACAATGATTACCAAAGATCTCTAGTCTTATCTGGACATCTTACATCTGACACACCATTCCTCGTGCAATGAGTGTTTTCTACTCACGTCTCCTCCTATTAAATGCTAGGAAAATGGGATAAATGCTTGGTCAAATGCCGAGCATTTATAGCCCTCCCTCGAGTACTCAAATCCCCTAGATCGGCATCTGACATCAATTGAACATTGAATACTCGGGGGAACAGTTCTTCGGGGGGAGCCGATCGTGTCATATCGATGCATCAGCCATAAATGTTTAGCCATTATGACAGTAGGCCTAAACTCCCAAAGTGCAGGTGTTTGAAGGCGTGCATTTATTTGCCTTGTTACTATCACTCATTTCGCCATAAATGAGAAGTTACATCACATTAAATACGATGTCAGCTGTCATACTCGGCTGCTCCGTGTCATCATATCTCAGCTTACCTCCTCGGCTCCTTTTGGACATCCCAACGACTTTATTATTTCACGTGTCAACCTGGGGCTGTAAAATCACCTAGAGTCCCGCCAACTGTCTCCTAGCCGCCATCCTTTTCACAGTGTAAGACAAGTGGCGTAAAGAGATTGAGAACTCAATCATCACGCCTTATTAATAGCGACGGTTACCTGCACGTTAGGTGCCGCTTTTTTCAAATGTCTTAATGATGACCCAAATTTTCGATTCCCACTCCTTGTAAGGCAGTATAAATATAAGGTTTTCATGCATTCTTAGAACTTTTGCATCCTCAGCCTCTCTTCAGCAACCAGACCCCGAGTACTCCTTTATTCTCCTCCGAGTTTCCTTCGTCCTCCGAGCTCTTTTTTTGAAGACCACCTTCCTGTAAGTAATTTCACTTGAGTTTTGTCTTTCTTCATTTCCTCTACATTTCGTCTTTTTAGCGTGCACCAATGGCCAGAATTAGTAGAACCAGGAGGGAGACATCTGTTTGGGCTAGGACTACCCATAAGATGAGGAGAACTCAAGTGACTGATAAGAATATCCAAATTTTTAGGGTTAGGTACCGCATCCATGAGCCTGTCTTTGTCTTCTACTTTAACCCCACTCACTATAGGAGGCAAAGTGGCTAGTGGATACCTCCTCCATATGAAGCGTAGGCTTATATGTGAGGGGGGGGAGACGACTCTCAGTCGATGTGGGACGAGCTCCTCATGGGCACTGAGAAGTAAAGGCTATTAGATTGCCTTAGGAAGGGTAGGAAGGGGTCCAAGTCAGTCAGAATTCTTCAATGGAGGGAGGATATTCCGATACGGATTTAATCCCTTACATCTACCATTCTCTTAATTTGAATAACTAACTATTTCAACAACAATTTTCGCTGTCCTTTAATCATTAAAGAACACTATTTATATGATTGAATGGCAGGGCCATTGCATCTAGGGAACCAAACTACCCATGGCAGTTGTTCGTGATGAGTTTACGCAATTGTTCGATTTTTAATATTGGAGAGTATCTTCAAACACGAGTTATTACTGGTATAATATATATAAATATAGGTTGTGTTTGGTTTGATTCTTGAAACCCGTTTTTTGTTTTTTAAACCTTAAAAACAGTGAAAACACATTTAATTTGATTTTTTGTTCTCAAGTTCTCGGAAAAAAAAAGTGAGAATTGGGGCAAAAAAATAGAAAACAAGCTAGACTTGTTTTCAACTTTTTATGCTAAAAATATTGAAAACAAAGAGAACAAAAATCTTTAACGAGGTCTTCCCTTCAAATCCCCTTAGCAGCAAAATTAGTCATAGTATATAGGCTTTTTTTTTTTTTTGTCTTCCTCTCTACCTCTCTCTCTCTCTCTCTCTTCACTTGGCCTCTTAGACAGAACGAACACAGGGAGAGAGCCAATGTCTTCTCCAAATCTGAGCACTTTGCCTTTCTAGATCTGAACACACACACAGAGGTGAGTGCACTCTGTCTCCACTTTGCCTCTCCAGTTTTGAACAAACACTCTCTCTCTTTCGCCACAATTGAAGTTTCAGATCTATACAGATCTGTGTATATACACAAATTTGTGTGTGTCTATGTAAATGTGTATGTGTGTGTGTCTGTGTGTGTGCGCGTGTGTGTATTTTGTGGAGACACAGATAGGGGAAAGAAAGATGGAGGTGGGATCTGTGTGTCTGTACTTGTCTATGTATGTGTGTCTGTGTGTATTTTGTGGAGACATAGAGAGGGAAAAGAAAGATGGAGGTGGGAATCGTGAATTTTGTGAATTATTGTCTAAACAGATTTTACATTTTTTTGTTCTTTAAAATTATTTTCAAAAATATATAATCAAACAGGTTTTACAATTTAAAATTTTTAAAAATTCTTCTCAAAAATCATTTTCGAATACTATTTTTTGAGACACAAACCAAACAAGGCCATAAATTCTAATTTTTCATTTTTTTTTATCCGCCGTCCCTTCCCTGAAAAGAAAAGAGGAAATAATAGCGAGAACATACAAAGTGTAAATGTGTACATTAGGGGACGGTGGTGAAGGGTTGGGTCTCTTGGGGATGGAAGTCACGTGGCCTAGACAACTTGCAATAAATACAAGAGATTTTAAGGCCTATACTCTTTGAAAAATTTTACGTAAATTAATTGTAGTGTAGCTGCCTTTAATAACGAGGAAAGGATTTGCAACATAAGGAGGAAAAAATTGTGGGATATGGTTTATGAAGGCCTAGAAAGCAAATTGTTTTTTGGAAAATAATATTTGAATCTAAAAATTTGACATAATTTGTTGATTTAATGACGTGATTTTATTGGAATTATTAGATAAATATTAAGTTCTAATGTTTGATAGAACCCACAGTTAATCCAAAAATCATAATAAATTAGATCACTAAATTAAGATTCAATAACATTATTTTTGTTTTTTTTCGAGAGAAAAAAAACACGCATATTACATATTAATATTAATATTCGTGGAAGGAAAGCTTGTGGCGGGTCTTAGTTCTTGGAAGAGAATTGTTTCCTCAGTACTCACCCGGAGGTTCAACCACCACCTAACTTTTTTCGCTTGGCCAGCAAACGATTTTAATGTAACAATGAATTAAGGTAACTGTCACCAATTGGTGCGTACGTGTCCAAATCTCTCTCTCTCTCTCTCACACAAAGTCTTAAGAGCATCATTCTCACACTCTTTCCTCTAATAAGAAGCATCAAGAGGCAGTGCATAGTTGGCTAGGAGTTGCAATGTTGCATACTCCATAACTCATTTGCAGAAAAATCGGAAGAAAGAAGATTCATTTTCCTGTTTTCTTTCCTTTTTATGGTTGGCTAGGAGTTGCAATGTTGCGTTCTCAGAAGAACAGAACAAGACGACGAAGCTAATTACGAGGTGCCATCAGCTGTCCTCTATCAATCACATTCTTGAGATATATTAATCACAAACGGGTGGGGTGCCTTAACTCTCTCTCTTTAGACTGTAGGTCTCTACCCCTACCTCCAAAGTCCGACCCCTCTCTCTTATTTCTCTTCTCTTGTCTTAAATCAACGGGCTTGGGTTTGGTCATTGGTGGTGGGTTTTCAGTGAAATGGCTGTTATGCACAAAACAAAGTCAATTTTAACTTTGACAGGGAGGGTTGTTAATGAAGTGGTCAGCTTCATTGTCTTCTCAGTTCTGGACCTCCTGGATTTCCTCCTATGTTATACGTACAAAAGTATCGATTTCTTCATTGAAGCTGAATGGAAACCTTGTTATTGCTCGTCGGCAAAAGAAGCCATCACCAGCAGTGGGAAGATCTTGGTCTCCGAGCAAGGAGAATCCAAGATTGTCAGTATTACTTCTAGTATATTGCAGCTTGAAGAGATCTCAGACACCCTATACACACGCCCATCGTTGGCGTCCGAGGTCTCCAAATCCACCGTCAATGAGCTGAAGCGGCTCAAAAAGGAGAGCACATTGGTGCAATCAAGTGAGAAGATGAGGAAAGGGACTGTCCGATCGACTTTCACCATCAACTCTACCATCGTCGAAATGTTACAAGGAAAGATCGGCGGAGGGCAGCAATCACATGATCCCATCCCAAGATGGTCCGATTGTGATTGTAAAACTTGCAACTCTTGGGCCTCTTCTTGCAAAGATACGCTCTTCGTCCGAGCTGATGGAGCTACAGGTAAAAGCTTTTTCATATCTATCATGGAAAAATGTATAAATGTAGTTTTTCATGTGCCTGGAGTTAATTTTTTGGTGGTCAGAAAATCAAGTGCAAGAAGAAGATGTGCTGTTCATTCATGGATTCATCTCGTCTTCTGCATTTTGGACTGAAACACTATTTCCAAATTTCTCGAAATCTGCCAAATCGATTTACCGGCTATTTGCTGTGGATTTACTCGGGTTTGGAAGGAGTCCCAAGCCAAATGACTCACTATACACCCTAAGAGAGCATATAGAAATGATTGAAAGGTCTGTTCTCGAGCCATACAAAGTGAAATCCTTTCACATAGTGGCACATTCTCTGGGCTGCATTTTGGCGCTCGCACTAGCCGTAAAACACCCTGGCTCAGTCAAGTCCCTAACCTTACTTGCACCGGTAAGCTGTATGTAGGTAAAACACATATTGACATACATTTTAATGCATATATAAAAAGAATACATTTTATATTCATATATTATTATTATTATTATTATTATTATTATTATTATTATTATCATAATGGGTTTTATATATGGATTGGTTGGTGTGTGTGAAAAATGGCAGCCATATTTTCCGGTACCAAAGGGTGAACAAGCTACACAGTACGTGATGAGGAGGGTAGCTCCAAGGCGCGTGTGGCCACTGATTGCTTTCGGCGCGTCGATTGCTTGCTGGTATGAGCATGTTAGCAGGACGGTGTGCCTTCTCATCTGCAAGAACCATCGTTTGTGGGAGTTTCTCACCAAACTTATCACCAGAAACAGGTACTTAATTAATTTAGACATGTCTATTTGTGCATCCGTCAACGCACCAAATGCTAGACTACGGTCTTCCTTGCTCGCTCTCATCTATTCTTATGTTTAGTTTCGTAAACTACCCTCATGCTCATCTAATATTGACACCATCTACATTATTACCCCTAGTTATTTTTAGGACATGTCTTGTCTTCAAAGTAAGACTATATGGGACTTGTTTCGAATTTGAAAAACACACCCTTATACTATCTCAGTACTAGGCTTTTTGAAACTGGCAATTAATGATAATAATTAACGGCCATAAATATTTGCCTTTTAATTTAAGAGAACCCTCCACTCCGATGGTTAGACGAGTAATTAATGAGTTATTTCATTTACTACATTAAAGAATACCGAACAAGGATAAAGAGCTTTCTCTCTCTTCATGACTTGCTCCGTTGGGGACATTAATGTGTACATCTTGATAGAGATGTTAATAGGAGGGTTGGTCCACTCACAATAAGGGGGCCACTTTTTTCTTCCGGTGGTGGAAGATCAACGGTTCTCTAGCTCCTTTCGGGATGAAGTAACAAGGTGAAAATGATGGAATGCAATGTCCATAGAGAGGTATCAGTTCATATGTAAGCTGTGGATAGAGTGAGAATGTTTGTGGAGAGATCAACCTGTAATATCAATAAAAATAATATCTGACAAGGCAGAAATTTAAGGATGATAACAACATAATATTTCTAACATGTGAGGATATATCAGTAGACAATTTCGTAATTCCCCTATAGTGAGGCATCGTCGGCCAACAAATATTGTTGAAACTTTTACTTGAAACTGGTGTTAGGCCGTTTTCTAGTCATCTATTTTGGATTCCTAAAACTTTTTTTTGAATACAACCGTTGATCACTTTTAAAAATCCAATATATCACTAACAAAATGAAATCTAGATGAACGCAGTGATGTAAAAGAGAAAAGACACCTAAAAGAGGGCTGGAATTGAACGCCAAATTAAGAAAGAGCATAAGAAATTAAGCAAGTATTTTGCACGACTTGTCTCTCTAACCCTCCTAGTTAGAAGAAATTGAGGTGGCAAGCTGTTCTTCTATAAGGTTACTTCTAGATACTGTCTATTGTCTTTAATATGCTGTATGTATAAATATTTGCAGGATGAGGACATACTTGATCGATGGATTCTGCTGCCACACGCATAATGCTGCATGGCATACCATGCACAACATTATTTGTGGGGCAGCTGCAAAAATCGAAGAATATTTGGAAGTTGTCCAAAATCAACTAAAATGTGATGTAACCATATTTCATGGGAGAGATGATGAACTTATTCCAGTTGAATGCAGCTACAATGTACAATCCAGAATTCCTCGTGCCCATGTTAAGGTGTTCGAGAACAAAGATCACATAACCATTGTTGTTGGAAGACAGAAGGCCTTTGCAAGGGAACTCGAGGAAATTTGGGAGAAGTCAGAGTAAATAAGATCTTTCATAGCAATCTAATTAGCTACACATAACATGTGCAGCCCCAAATCACCATAAGTTTCAATCCAATCAAGGAATGGACAAAAGATATTTCTATTGCAAGTTTTCTCTCCTTTATTACTTCTTCTTTTTTTTTCTTTTAAGTGTCAAGCCCTAGTTCAGGCTTTGTGACATATTACCAGTTATTGTTGGGGATGTGAAACGCTTCATATAATTGTGAACTTCATAAGAAAAATGAGCAAACTATCTATTCTACTTCATTCGAAACTGTTTATTATGAATTATATACAAAAACCAACCTTCAACAGTTGAAGCTATAAATCTGGGCCAAGCTAAGGCACTGCAACCCATTCTGATCCGTAGGCATAGCTTGCCATAAATGCAAACAATAATTAATTAATTGACTCCGTTTATTACCCTTTCTGAGCTGTCTCTACCACAAAGATCGCAATAGACCACCGTCTTCTTGCATGAATGACTTTAGAAATACCAATGGCGACCGTTACATTCTATTTGTCCTTCTACTCTTTCGAGCTAAATTGTTAATTTCTATTTCAACTGAGGCGAGGCTGTAATTTCTCTAACTTAATAATTTAGTTTGACCTTTTTTGAGCCGTTTTATATATAGTAAGTCTATCATCACTGTAGGAAAATTTAAGTTCAAGACGGAAAATCCCCACGTAGGCACGCATCAAATTTTTCTTTAATTTAACATTATGATTATGTATGGAGGGGATGCCAATTAACTGAATATTATACCTAAAATCTCGAGGGTAGTTCAAGTGATAACAGAGACGAAGTATAAACTCAAACGTTCTAAATTCGAATCTTGACAACCTCTTAACACAAAGTTATGAGAGATTTATTGCTCATGAATATTCTAGTTTCACCGTAGATGATCTATTTTTGATCGAATCGAAGAAAAAATTAGTCAAAATACACCTAAACTAGTCCAGTCCGGACAACCCCTAAACCAAAAAATGGAAAAATTATACCTGAAGAGTTGTCGGCAATAAGTTAGTGCTCATAGATGTAGGTATGATTCCGAGTTATTAAAGTGCGTTAATTAGGCGCAACTACTGATTGTTGACCAATGCAACAAAGCTTTCAATGCACCTTTCCGTCTATGTCACATGCTCTATCTAAGCTTTTAATCGTCGTCCTTACTGGTGGGATCAATGCCACTAATACTAGGTTGATCGTATATTGTTGCTTGCTCTACGATAAATCTTCACATTATACTTAATTCAATTTAGCCTTGTCCCAATATTTTCAGGGTAGTTATATGAATCTTATTTGAATTGCATGATTGAATTAGTAATTTAATTAACTTTCGCTAATTATCTAATGGCTACCAATACATCACATTATTCCATATCTAAAATTTAATAAAACTATGGTAAACACAACAATACTTCTCATTTTTGAGCAAGACACAACAAGCATTCCATCAGTCATTAGTCTACAAAAGCATTATTCAACCAACGAGACTAGACTTCCTTTGTCCAGGATCCAGAATTGGTTGCAAGCATACGTATATATATGATGTTGGTGGGTGGTACAGTGACCCACATTTGCTATACGGATGCATCTCAAACTCACTGCAAGCTCACAATGAAGAAAAACACACATTCTCCCGCAAAAACACACACAGCAACAGCAACAGCAGTATACCTGCAGTCTACACCATTTACTGATCTGCCAAGTAATCTTTTAGAGTAAAAGAGGCATATTATAAACCTTGTTGGTTCAGCGATTAAAAAAATTGTTCATATATCCTCATTTAATTCTCTTTCGCTCTCTCTCTCCAATTTTTATAAGCATAGTTTGCATTGGTGTGCTGTATGATTTACTCTCATTACTCAATCGTGCTGTTTTCATAGAAATCTCCAGCCAACCAAAACTCAAGATCTCATTGGGTTTGCGTTATATATTTTGCAGTGGAGAAGTTCACAAGATTATGTTTTCTTGACTAGAAACCAAAAAATATTGTTCCAGTGCTGTCTAAGACTCGCCAATTGCAATTGATAAATAGTTTTACCTTAGTTTTGGCTTGGGTTCTTGGGCGGTGTCACCCAACTTTGACTCGGTGATGCAATCAATTTCAAATGTTAGTGGACATTTTCTGCGTAAGATCATTTAAGCGATGTGGTCACGCATTGATTTCACTTTACTTGTAAGTGGTTGGTTGTTGCCTAACCTAAGGAAATAAGGCAAAGTATTGGATACCCGCACGCAATAAGTTTTTTGCCGGTCAGTGCAAGAAGCAAACAAACTAACAATTGCAAGCTGTGTAGAGCCTAATCGACTATACCAACTCTCGCCATTGTCCTTCAGCTAATTCTAATTCTGCACTTACTAATTCCTCCTTGTGGGGTTCAAACTTCAAGCAAATCATATCAGCATTCGATCCTGCGATATGCTTGACCTAGTCAATATTGTTTGTTTGAGAATTTAGTGGAGAACACGGTCAATTTGTTTGAGCGTTTAGTGCANTGGATTAGTAATTGATGCGGACGAAATTCACGGCTAGGGCCTCAGTGGACCAGAAGTCTGACCATCCCAAGAGGCCCGGAGCAGTAGTCTAGACCCAGCTCAAACCATAAAGCGATTTGGGGAGTAAAAGCCTAATACAAACTATTTCTAGATGGGCAGAGGGGACCACGCATCCAGGGGGACCATTCTTGACACCTGCAGCAATCTCAGAGAAGGTGGAGCACCAAGCCGCCAGAGATCATAGTAACGGCAGNAGGGGACCACGCATCCAGGGGGACCATTCTTGACACCTGCAGCAATCTCAGAGAAGGTGGAGCACCAAGCCGCCAGAGATCATAGTAACGGCAGCGTCGGATAAGTAGGGACGTCGGATGAACAGTGATCATGGTGGCAGAAGAAGTAGGAAGGGGTTAGAGGAAAGGACAGCTGGAGGCCCTAAGAGGAGCTAGTATAAATAAATAACGATAACCCAAGCAAAAATAGACTCGATCACCCCTGAAAAAAATCAGGGAACATTTGAGAGCAAAAGAGTGTAGAAAGTTGAGAGTGAATACCTAGATAATCATTCTTTGTAAGTGGACCCCGAGTCCCAAGTTACTGGAGGCACTTTGCCGGCCGATGAACATACAATCCCAGTGAGCAAGAGACTCCGTTGAGAGTGGATGTAGCTTTAGTCCTTCGGCTAAGGTGAACCACTTATATTCCCTGTCTAACTGTTCATAAAAGTTTAATCCATCATCTGCAAAATCNGCAAGAGACTCCGTTGAGAGTGGATGTAGCTTTAGTCCTTCGGCTAAGGTGAACCACTTATATTCCCTGTCTAACTGTTCATAAAAGTTTAATCCATCATCTGCAAAATCATTTTCATAACACCATCCAACCTTAGTTGGGCTTGCGCCACAAATTCCAACTACCATCAGTTGACGCCGTCTGTGGGAACGGATTTCATTGTTTCCTTATCTGATTTCTATTTGATGGTTTCAACTCGGAATATGAGTAAAGTTTCTGCCAACCCTCAAGCCCACCAGAACCTATGAGAGAATCCCCTGATTCCTGAAGTGGACGCCGAAAACCACTTCATAGCGACAAACCTTCCCCCTCTGGAAGGGATGGATACCTTTCACCGAACCACGATGCAACTTATGAAGCAGAACCAAGAGCTGTTGGAATGGATACGGACTCACCAGCTCCCTCCATTCCCACCAGCTCAACAAGAGCTCCCCTCCACCACCAGCAGGTCACGATGCTCCCCTTCGAGGACACTAGGCTCCACCAAATGGGGTTACAAAGCTCTACGAGCACAGCCACTCCAGAGAAAATCATCGCAGAAGACATCCCGAAGGACAAAACGAAGACGAGGCCCATATCTGGGCTACAGCTGCCTTCCGACAGGACATACCTCATCCCCCGTTCAAAATCGATGATCGCATATGGGAGTAGAGAATCTGTGAACTCCAGCGAGAGCTGGGCAACGTGAAAGAAGTGGTTAGAGGAAAGGCCCCTGACACCATGGATGCCCTAGTCCAGCAAATTGAGTCGTCATTTACACATGTGGTCCTCCATTTCCCTCTCCCTCAGAAGTTTCGGATGCCGTCGATAGAGGCATTCGACGGGACCAAAGGCCCAGTCGACCACTTAAACTCCTACAAGAATCAGATGGAACTCCAGGGGTATCCCGACCTGATTCATTGCCGAGCTTTTGCCATCACCCTAAAGGGATCAGCAATAGCTTGGTTCAACACGTTATAAACATCGTCAATCTCCTCCTTCAGGGAACTGTCAATACAGTTCGTCTCACACTTCATCGGAGCAAGAACGTACAGAAAGCCGTCCTACCACCTGTTGAGCGTCAAACAGGGACCAAGTGAGTCCCTCAGAAGTTACATGCAACGCTTTAACTAGGAATGTCTGAAGGNAGTTCGTCTCACACTTCATCGGAGCAAGAACGTACAGAAAGCCGTCCTACCACCTGTTGAGCGTCAAACAGGGACCAAGTGAGTCCCTCAGAAGTTACATGCAACGCTTTAACTAGGAATGTCTGAAGGTGGAAAGCGTGGATGATAAATTCGCGTTAACCACCTTCATGTCGGGACTCGGAGTGCAGTCCAAGGACCTTCTTTTCTCGATTGCTAAGAACCCTTAGGCTACTATGGCTGAGGTGTTAGCAAAGGCTGAAAAGTACATTAATGGCGAAGAAGCTATTCACTTGAAAAGAAGTTCAGCAATGCCGGAAGGGGACAAGAAGAAGCGGGACCATAGCCCCAAGAGAGAGAAGAGGCGAAACTGGTCCCCAAGAAGAGACCGCTCTCCGAGAAGAGGGAGAGAGCCTTCCCCTAAAAGAAGGGAAAATATCCAAGATCGACTAGGACCAACTCTGCAAGAGCTGCAGCCGCAGTATGCTCTAGCTCAACTCCCGCCCCTTGTCACCTCAATTGCTCAGGTCCTCCACGAGGTCCAAAACGAAAGGTTCATCTGGTGGCCACCGCGAATGAAATCTGACCCTAGTAGGCGGGACGCCACTAAGTACTGTGAGTACTACAAAGACACCGGTCACGAGACATATGACTGCATACAACTCAAGAAAGAGATAGAATATCTGATTCAGATGGGACACATGCGCCACTACGTGNACCCCTTGTCACCTCAATTGCTCAGGTCCTCCACGAGGTCCAAAACGAAAGGTTCATCTGGTGGCCACCGCGAATGAAATCTGACCCTAGTAGGCGGGACGCCACTAAGTACTGTGAGTACTACAAAGACACCGGTCACGAGACAAATGACTGCATACAACTCAAGAAAGAGA